CTCCATGGAAGTGGGGGGAAAGTGGGGGTGCGAGGGCCCGCGCCGATCGGCTAAACAATGAATAAAAAAACGATCACAGTAAGTGCCCCCCCTTCTCGACCTGCTACAGCAGGCCTCAGGCTCCAGGAGACAGCTGGTGGAGCGGGCTTCTCCTCTCTGACCTGAGCTACTTCGGAGGGCGTTGGGCGCGGAGGCAGGACGAGAGCATGGCGAGGAGGGGTCTCCTCCTGGCAACCCTGCGGCCGCTGTCCCCGCAGCGCCCACGCGCCGCCCACAGTGGCTGCCACCCATGCTCTCTCCTCCTCCCCCCATTCTCATCCGAGAACGAGGACGACGACCTCCCTCCCTCCTCCCTCCTCCCTCCTCCCCCTGCCTCCCTCCCCATCCCCCCCGACTACTCTCTCCTCCTCCCCCTCCCCCCTCATCCCTCCCTTCTCCTCATGCTCCTCCTCCTCCTCGTGCTCCTCCTCCTCCTCCTCCCTCCCTCCCTCCCCCCTCTCCCTCCCATCCCTCCCCATCTGAGAACGACGACGACGACGACGACGACGACGACGACGACGACGACGACGACGACGACGACGACGACGACGACCGCGGGCGCGGGCGCCCGCGAGGGCGGGCGGCGGACGCGTGGGCGGCCGCGAGCCCGGCCGAGCGCAGGACCTGAAGGCGGCAGGAGGCGGGGGGGGGGCGGGGGAGGAGATGGGGGGGGGGGGGGGCGAAGGGGGGGAATGGATGGGGAATGGGGGGGGGGGGGGGGGGGGGACGATGGGGGGGGGGGGGGGGGGGAGGGGGCGGGGCACGAAGGAAAGGGAAGCACGTGTGGTAGAAGACGAAGAAGGAGAAGAAGAAGAAGAAGAAGAAGAAGAAGAAAAAAGAGAAGAATAATACAACGAAAACTAAGAAGAAGAAGAAGAAGAAGAAGAAGAAACGGCATAAGCATGAACTTTTGGCGCTCCGCGCGGATTTCTTCGATCCGCGCTGGCCCCCCTCCCTGGCGCGCGGAGCGCGCCAGGGCCCAGCGCAGATCCAGGAGATCCGCACGGAACGCCTGCTCCGAGTTTCTTGATAAGCGTGGGGGGGGGGGCGTCACCCCCGCCGACAGCCCCACAACGACCCCCGTCGCGGGCAGCCACTGCGCGCCGAAGGCGCTCCGACCCCCGTCGCGGCGCGACGACGAGGCGAGGTTGACCCCCGTCGGGGTGGTACCCCCCTACACTTATCAAGAAACCCAGAGTTTACCAGTTTGAAACATATCCCTATCCCTATGTTTGACATCACCTCACCTCGATGCCGATCTTAAGGATCCCCTCAGTTTCTGAGGGCCTGTCCCTAAGATCGTCCTCGCCTTTTGCTCGCCCAGCTTAGGGATAGGGATAAGTTCGAGGCTGGTTAAGAGTGGAGTTTATGTTTATGTCGCTGCTTCTTCTTCGACGTGGGGAGGCAAAACCAGTCTGCCGGCCCCCAGGCTGCGAAACTCGGGCTTCGGCGACGAAGGCACCGGACCTGAGCACCTCGGCCCCGGCCACACGTCCGGTGCACCTCTCCGGTCTCCAATCTCCTTTGTTCTGCCTGTGTGTTCTCGCTATCCTTATGTCGGGCGTGTCCCACGACAGGAGGATTTTCGACGAAAAATAAAACATACCCCAAACATACTCAAAGATGGTCCAAAAATACAAAAAACAAAAAAAAAACTAATCCCCAGGCTAATTTTGGACTATGTTTGAATCTTCCCCAACTTAATGCTATCCCCAGCCGTCCTTTCTTTGTTGGGTCCTCGTTTTGAAGAGACGGCGCCTGCGGCTCCCCGCTCACTTCGGCACAGCCCTCCGACTTCCTTGGCCCCATGCGGAGCACCACCGAAGGCCCCAGCGGCAGGGATCGCATGTTGTTCCGCGCCCGTTTCGGCACACCCCTCACACGTTCCGTGGCCCCACAAGGAGCTCCACCGAAGGCCCCAGTGGCAGGGATCGCATACGGTTCTCCGCCCGTTTCGGCACACCCCTCACACGCTTCGTCGTTCCAACGGGAGCTCCACCGAACGCGGTGCCACAGCGCAGTGCCCATAATTGCACATGGTTGAGTCCTTCGCCATGATAAGTTAATGCAAATTGTTACTGTCCGCGCGAGGGAGGGAGCCGAACATCGCCCTGGTTCCACAACCTCCCGGGGTTCTCCTCATTCCCGGGGTGGGGCCTGGGACATGTAAATTACAGTACATTGCAATAAATCACGCAAGACTCGCGCTCACGAAACTACGATCCCTTCAAGCACGACGGAAGAGTTCCGACCCCGCGGCCACGATCCCTTGCAGATTACGCCAGATTCGGGAACCCGAAGCCACGAGCCAAAGGTATGCACAGTTCGCGCCCCCGAGGCCATGTTTCATTGCAAATGCGACCTCGCAGTCACGCCGCACTCGCGCCCCCGAGGCCACGACCCCTCGCAAATCAAACCAGACTCGCGCCCTCGAGGCCACGATCCCTAGCAAGTTGCACCAAATTCAGGCACCCGGAGCCGCGAGTTGCACGCTTCGCGCCCCAGAGGCCATACTTTGTCTTTGAACCACCTCTCGTACATGGCGCCGCACTCGCGCCCCCGAGGCCACGATCCCTCAGAAATTAAACCAGATGCGCTTCCTCGAGGCCACACCCCCTTGTAAATTACGAGAGGTTCGCGCTTCGAAAACCACAATCCTCGCACATTACACCAGATTCGCGCCACCGAGGCCAAGATCCCTCGCAAATTACGCCACAGCGCCCACGAGGCCACGATTTCTTGCAAATGAAATCACGAATACAGGCCGATACTGCTCAAGCTGTCGCCCAAGCTTCCCAACATACAGTAAAAACTCATATGTTAAGGACGGGTTGTAAGGACGCAAGACCCTTGGAGGCCGAAGCTGGGATTTTTGGGCGGCGGGCGACCAAAACTCCAGCGGAAACGGCAAAGGACGGGCCGCAGAGGCAGGGACACGAGGGTACTCTAGAAAAGGCGCGCGTCCTTCCTGCGCACGCTGACCGTACAGCAGGGGCCCGACCACACGAAACCTTCCACAAGAAACCCAACCCTGAGAGTACCCAGCATAGCTCCGGCACATCCCCGCCTGGTGGAGAGGGGTCACACGCGGCTGCGGGGAGTCCCTCCGCGTGCTACCGTCAGGTCGGGCATGTCCCCCTACAGGGGGGTTTTGGACGAAAAATAAAAACAAGTGACCCAAAAATATCCAAAAATATACAAAAATGCTTCAAAAATGGTCCCAATGTTATGTTTTGACTATGTTTGAAAATTCCTCCTAAAAAGGACAGGCCCGACTTGCTGCTGCCTTCGAAAGAGCACCCGGGCTTCCAGGCAAAAGAGTGCCGGAGGAGCGCGCCGACGGGCTCGCCTCGCTCGGCGGCGCGTCAAAAACTGTGGTACTCGCTGTCCCTCCCGGGTGTGGAGCACAGGCGCGGCACGAGAGCATGATCGACCCACGACACCAGGCAAGTATGCATCGGGAAGACGTAACGCTCGGGTACGGGGGACTCGGGTTGGCCTGACGGGGGCCATCCTAAAAATTTGACGCGGGCTCCCACTGCAAAAATCCCACGAAAACGGGACCGTCAAAATCCAGGACGCGCTCGTCAAAAGAAAGTCGGCACGCTGGAGATCCGGCTTACTCGAGTCTTACGTCTCCCCGAATGTACAGATGTGAGCCATGGAAAACGTTTTCAAGGCACCTGACTGGGCGACGGGCAGTTGCACGGCCCAAGGTATCGACGGCGGCGCAACTACCGTGCCAGGGGGCTGTGCTGTGCTGTGCCGTGCTGCATTGGGCTGCGTCCTGCTGCGCCGGACGGTTTTGGAGTGTATTGCGTCGTGGTCGCTATCGGCATCCGAGTCCTGACGGAACTGATCTGGATCTTCAGCTCGTGCTGCCAGAACGCATGGCTCGCCAGGAGCTGGTTGCAATCGCAACGTGCGGGGCGATCAACCACCTGGATGTCAAGATCCGACTCAGTTCCGACGCGGAACGAACCAACAAGGGGCGGCAGGATGGTGGAGGAGAGAGGAAGCAGGAGGGAGGGGAGGGTGGGGCAGGAGGGAAGAGGCAGGACGGAGGGCAAGAGCTGGGAGGGAAGAGAGGGGATGCGGCAGAGGGCGGCGTGTTGGCAGTGGCCCCACTGTGTCGGTGTCCGCCTCGCACCTCGGGGTCACACCTCGCGGGATGGCGAGCCCAGGGTACAGAAGGCACCTGGATGCCACCACCACCACCACCACCACTGGCCAGAGCCACCTGGGGCCCAGGGGTGGCACATTTGGCTTAGGTCGGGCATGTCCTCCTGCAGGCGGAGCCTAGAGGAAAAATGTAAGATAGCCAACCAACGCCCAAACGTATCTCAAAAATGATCAAAAACAAATCGGCCCCCGACTGCTTCTTGACGATTCTTGAACGTTCCTCCTGTAGGGGGACATGCCCCGACTTAACATCAGGCCCTCCGAGGTGCGGTGGTGACGTGCAGGTGCCTTCTGCGGACAGGCGGCCATGCCGGCCGCCGTGGGCCCCCCGCGGCGCCGGGGCAGACACGACGTGCCCCCGCGGCCCGCTGGGCGCCCTGCCCGGCAGCGCTCCGCCGCGGATGGGCTTGCTTTCCACCACCATCACCAGAAGTTGGAGGGGGGCAGGAGGTGGAGGACGAGGAGGAGGACGACGAAGAGGAGGAGAGGAGGAGGAGGAGGAGGAGGAGGAGGAGGAGGAGGAGGAGGAGGAGGAGGAGGACCTCCTCCCCCTCCAACTCATGGTGGTGGTGGTGGTGGAAGATAGGCCCATCAGCCGCCCCCGCGGCCACCCGCCGCTCCGCGCGCCGGGCGTCGCGAGCAGCGGCCGCGGCGTCGGCGGCGGGGGGGCGCCCTCGCCGTCGGCGCGGCGTTCGCTCGACGCCCGCGGCGGCCGGCCGCGGCAGCGCCGCGGCAGCGCCCAGCGCCGCGGCAGCGCCGCGGCCGCGCCGCGGCCGCGGCGCCGACGCGTCAGGCCGCGCCGGTCGTGGGGGGCAGCAGCTGCGGCGTGGGCGACAGGGGCGCCCGCGCAGTGAGCTCGGCGTCCTCGCCCGCGGCGCGCTGGCGCGCCCGCAGGGCACGGCCCCGCGCCGCTGCCTCGGCGCGCTGGGCGCGGCGGCACTCCTCGCGGGGGGGGGGGGGGGGGGAGCACGTCTGGGGCACTCCTCGCGGAGGGGGGGGGGGCTTCAGTAGCGCATATTAAAATTGCTGCGGTACAAAAGCTCGCAGTTGGATCTCTGTCGTGTGGGGGGGGGGGGGGCGCACGTGGGGTTTGCCTGGCGGTGATGGCTCTGGACTCTGTGGGGGAACGAAGAGTGACAGAAACATTATAAAAACTCTGAGATTCGCGCGGATTTCTCGGATCCGAGCTGCGCCCCCCTGGCGCGTTCCGCGCGCCGGGGAGGGAATCCAGCGCCGATCCTAAAAATCCGCGTGGACCTCCGAGTTTTTATGTTTATGCTTTTCTTCGTTCCCCTACTCTCGTCCGCCTCCCACGCGGAAGGGCAGGGGTCGGAAAGGAGGGGAGGGCCCTCTCAGCCCGGATGTCGCTAACCAGGACGTTGAGGGGTCCACCTGCAGAGAACAAAGACTGGAGAATGCTTCGACCCGCGGCTGCGTTTTTCCCGGGCGTGCCAAGAAGTCCTGGTTTACCGAAGTCCCCGCTTGCACGGCCCTGGGGGCAGCAGGAGGGGCAGTGGAAGAAGATGAGTAGTAGACAGAGGGAGGAGGAGAGGGAGGAGGAGGAAGAGGAGGAGGAGGAGGAGGAGGAGAAGGAGGAGGATGAGGAGGACCAGTGTAAACCCAAGGGTCATCAACGATGTTGGAATACACCCTCCCTCCAAGCTCCCTCTTCATAGGCCCCTACAACAATTCAATCCATTGAGGGGTCTGCCTCGGTGACAACCGTTTGAAGGCCCGGAAGCATGCCAAAACATTGTTCTCGGGATCCCAACGCCACAGATCAACCTGACTGTTGCGACTTGACGGTCCTAGATCGTGCCAGAACCACATTCTTGGGATTTCAACACCGCGAATAAACGTAACTGTTGCACCCGCAAAATCCAGAATCCTTCCAAAACGCTATTTCTGGTACGTTGTTCGTGGGAATCCGTGAGACTCTTGCAAACTGTATGAACCAATGCACGCCGCTAAGGCGTGAACCACATGCTGAAAAAGAACCGCCCTCAATCCGTGAAACCCTTGCAATGTTTAAAAGCAACGTGCGCGGCGCTAAGGCGACAGCGACATCTTGAAAACGGGTTATCGTCAATCCGTGAAACTCTTGCAAATGTTTAGAACGAACGAACGAATGTGCGTGGCACTAAGGCGAGAACCACATCTTGAAAACGGAGTATCCTCAATCCGTGAAGCTCTAGCAATTTTGTAGATCGAATGTGCGCGGCGCTAAAAGCGAGAGCGACATTTTGAAAACGGGTTATCCTCGATCCGTGAAGCTCTTGCAAACGTTTAAAACGAATGTGCGCGGCGCTAAGGCGAGAGCCACATTTTGAAAACCAACCGCCCTCCATCTGTGAAACATGTTTAAGTTTCAGAGTCATAAATGGAGAGAAGTCTCAGGCGAAACGCCCGGTCCGCCCTAAAAACTGGCCTCGGGGTTCGACAGGGGGAAAATTATTCATAGAAAAGGAATGAAGGAGCAGCAGGCGGAGGAATGGGAAGGATGGGGGAGGAGGAGGGGGTGAAGGAGGGGGAGGAGGAGGAGGAGGAGGAGGAGGAGGAGGAGGAGGAGGTACGGTAGGTGCGCTCGCGCCAGATCTGACGTCATACGCTTCCCGCACATCCTTTTCCCTTGCGATGAACCCTTCATGTTCGCAGAATCGGGTGCCGGAAAAGACCACAATCCCGAAAGGGCGACCTACTCCAAAATGACATGTACCCCTGAGAATCACGAGCTGGGAGGCATTAAGGAGACGGAAGGGGGAGGGGAGTAGGAGGGGGAGGAAGAGGAGCAGAATGAGGAGCGAGGACGACCGACAAGGAGCAAGGAGAGCAGGGAGCGTCGTTCAATTGGACGGAAGCCAAATTCAAATCCCACCAGCCCTGTGGGCGTACGTAATTCGGTGGTTTCAGGATTTGTTCGTCCGATCTCCTTGCTCCCCTTGGGGGAAAGGTCTACCTCTCCGAACGACCCCTTCTCCCTAGGTCTGGAGCGTGCGTTCTGTGGGCGGTTAGAGCGTCCCAGGTGGCCCAAGAAGGCCGCAGATAGCCCAAGGTGGCCTCCAAGACCACACAATATAGCCCAATATGGCTCAAGTCAACCTCCAACATGCCTGCAAGAGGCGCCATGCCCGTCCCAAGACGGCTCCAGGTGACCACGAAGCCTCCCAAGGATCCCCCCGGCCGAGAGGCCAAGCTACTTCCAGCATCAAGGGAACATTATTGTTGCTTTTCCTCTCGCCGTTTCGCTTCCAACGGGCTCCCATGGCCTCACGATGGGTCCAAAATGGCCCTGGAGAGCCCAAAGAGGGGCCCCAAGATGGCACAACAGCGCCCTAAGAGGGGCCCCAAGAGGCGCCCTAGAGGGGCTCCAACGGGGGGATAATCTAATGCCCCCCACGCTCCGCTCGATGGCCTCCAGGATTGCCCCCATAGAGCCCTCAAGGCCTCCGAGATGGCCCCAAGAGAGCCCCAAGAGGTCCCCAGGAAAGCCCGGCCCCAATCGGGCCCCGCGATGGCCCGAATCTGCCTCTGAGGGGCTCCCAGAGAGTGACTGCATGCTGCTGCACATCCCTGGTCAAGGCAACTCGCATGGTGATTGTGTTTGGATGTGCTAGTGTTAAGTCGGACCTGTCCCCCTACAAGGGGATTTTGGGCGAAACAATGAAAATAGTCCGAACATACTCCAAACAGATTCAAGAGTAGTCAAGAAAACGGTCCCCAGACTATTTGTTGACTATGAATATTCCCCCTGTAGAGGGACAGGCCCGACTTCATGCTAGGGGGATACGCGGAACGTCAAGGACTCTTGGATGTGTCACGCCCTGCAGCGGGAACACCACTTTTGCTGATGCAGGGCCACGGCCAACGATGCGGCGAGAGCACCGTTCCGTTGGACGGAGGCTCTATGGAGATCAGTGCATCTGGCACATGCTGCAGCGGGAGCACCTGTGTCGCTGACGCAAAAGAACGGCCACCGCTGCGACGAGAGCGCCATTCGCCGAGACGGAATGTCGACGGGAACATGACAAACACTGCAGGAGCAACACTTCACTGATGCAGGACTGCATTCAGCGCCTCCGCGCGAGCATCTTTCTGTTGGGCGCAGGCTCTCGGGAGACCATTGCGTATGACAAGCGCTGCGGCCGGCAGCATCCATGTTGAAAGGTCGACAGCGTTCTGATAGTAAGCGACACACATCGGAAGCCTAATCAAGACAATCACGTGCGAAACGAAAACTATATAGGCGGCGCAATTATTTAAGAGAAAAAAGAAACAGCATCAGGGGAGGGATGAGAGCAGTATCCATGCTGTGTAACCGAACACGCAAGGAGGGAACAGGGGGGCAGGGGAGGAAAGGGAGTCCTCCAGGAACGCCTGCCACTCCTCTGGGTGCGCGAGGCACATCTTCAGCTTCTCTTCGGCGCCCCCTGACTTCTCCTCTGCGGGGGCGCCGGCGGATGCACCACCAGCGCCCGCTCCAACCTCCGCTTCCTCCCTCCACCACCCTCCCTCCACCGTCCAACCCTCCGCCCTCGGAACCCCTCCTGCTGTCTATCCACCCTTCATCCTTCAAGAGGCCCAAGGATACACAAATAAATATACACAAGTAAGAATGTCTCCCATATTTTCGCATATTTTCTGGGTTTTTGTCTTCCCCCCCACTTCCCATATTTTCCCATATTTTCTAGGGAATCGCCGATTAATTGTGTCTGTGTGTTGTTTCCCTTCCTGAATCCTCCCTCCTTCGCCCCCTCCTCCCGCCCCCCCGCGTCCCTCCCTCCCCTGCCCTGCCCTGCCCTTCCCACTCCACCCCTCTCTTCCCGGTCTCTCTGCTGCGAGAGGGGAGGGGGAGGGACAGTACATGGACATTATATTTGAACCCTGTGGCCCAAGATGCCCCCCAGACCCCCGAAATTAATATTGATGGCGTGGCGACGGGTGGGGCGTGAGTGGACAGAAATACTCGAACCCCAAAGCACCGCCTTTACTGAGATCAACATTGATGTCGGGGGCGCGGGGGTGATTTATAATCTCCCTCAAATGTGTAAGGGTTCGAATATATTGTCCATGTACGGGAGGGGTGGCACATTCCTGCCACGGCGGCGTGGGCTGAGGCTTCTATGACCGCGTGGATCCTTCAATATTAGACGACCTCTGCTGGCGGGTGCCTGTAATGTCGAACGCCCCCAACCTTGAACGCTCTGGCCCGCGCTGCCGCCGCACCGAAATATCACGAACCTGCAAAAAAGGATGCAATCGGGGATTTTCTGACCCGGGTCAATCCAGACCCGGGTCAGTCAGGCCGTCAAGAGTCCTGCAAGATCCTGCAAGACCCTGCACCCAAAACCCGGGTCAATGCGAAGGATCCTGCAAGATCCTGCAGGATCCTGCGCCCAAGCCCGGGTCAATGCGACCTTGGCCATGCAGGATCCTGCAAGATCGCGCGCGCTCTGGCTGAAGCCCGTTTGCATTGACCCCCGTCTCTAGAGCCCCGACGGAGCATCTTTTGCGGGGGTGCCAGGTCCTCGTCCTCGTTGAGAGCACACCAGACCGCGTCTTTCGAGGAACAAACAGCTGCACAAGCATACGCTTCTGGCGCTCCGCGCGAATTTCTTGGATCTGCGCTGACCCCCCATCCGTGGCGCGGATAGCGCGCCGGCGGCGGCGCCGCCAGGCGGCGCCGCCCGGGGGGCCCCGCGCCGATCCAAGAGGTCCGCGCAGGGCCCCGACAGCTTGTGGTGGTGCCGTCTTTTGTTCCACGAGTCTTGCAGCCTCGCCCCGAGGCCTGCGTTCCCCTGGAGCGCGCTTGTTCTATTTTCGGCGATACTGGGCATTATTTATATATATATATATATATATATATATATATATATATATATATATATATATAATATATATATATATATATATATATATATATAGGGAGGGGGGAGGGGGCCGGGGGGGTAGCATGTACCGCCTCCCCCCCGCCGTGTGCCCGCCGCGCACGGTGGCAGTGCCCGAAGCGCACTGGGGGGGGGAGGGGCGTCACGTTATAGGGGAGGGAGTGGGAGAGGGGGGGCGAGGGAGCTATGATGCCCAGTATGCCCCAAACAATAAAAAAACACGCTCCTGAAAGAATGCCCAGGGCATGCCCGGCCGCCGGAACACGTGATCCCTCACGGCCTCCGAGGCGGGCCGCACGTGCCAGTACCTGGCGGCCTCCCTCACGGCCACGCCCCTCACGCGGTACGCCCCGAGCTTCGCCAGGGAGAAGACGGAGGAACGGAAAATCGCATAGACTCAGGTCGGGCGCGTCCCCCGGCAGGCGGATTTGGAAGGAAAAATAAGAAGTACTAAAAAAATCAAAGAATTGTCAAAACATCGTCCCCAGTCTCATTTGACTATGTTTGAATACTCCTCCTGTAGAAGGACAGGCCCGACTTAAGCACAGGCATGATTTCTCGGAGCTCCGCGCGGATTTCTTGGGATCGGCGCTGGAACCCCCTCCCTTGGTGCGCGGAGCGCGCCAGGGGCGGCGACGGAAGTGCCGCCAGGGGGGCCCAACGACCATCCAAGAGATCCGCGCGGACCTCCGAGAAATCTAGCTGATGTATTCTTGGTTCTTCCGGAAAAGGAGTCCGACCCCAGTGTACCACTCGCTAGCAAAGACGCCCAGGTTCTCCCAGAACAATCTGTCGTTATCGACGTAGATCAGGGTCTGAACGAGCCAGACAAGCGGCAGAGCGACGGCAAGAACAACCATCACCGTGACTCCTCTTCTGTACCAACTCCGCCGATCAAGGCGCCATGCGTAGTACAAGTAATCGCCGCTTTCGAAACTGCACCACGGATCCCTCACGCTGCGGCAGAAATCCACCACGATGGTCAACACCAACGAGACTGCCGTGGCGTAGAAAGCCCAGGCTATGAGGATCCACGGGATGTCCGTGCCGGGCAGGCTGTCGTAAGTGATCTGACGCAGCTTCACCGTGGTCCCATTGTGGAACGAGACGCTGGTCGCTGGCGCCCAGCCCCACGTGTACCGGGAGCGGTAGTACGAGTCAAACTGACTCGTCGACACGTCGTAAGCACGCATCGCGACCTCAGGTTGAGTCGGGCCTGTCCCCCTACAGGGGGTGGGGCGGAAACTTAAAAATACTCAAAAGCTACTCCCAAAGATGCCCCAAAACTAGTCAAGAAATGGTCCCCAGACTATCTTCTTACTATCTTTGAGCATCCCTCCTGTATCGGGAGCGGCCAAGAGGGGAGTGTCCAAGAGGGGGGGTGCAAATCATGACCGGCGGGCATGTGCGCGGCCCAGCGGGGGGCCCAGGAACGTAATGAAATAGGAAGAGGCGCCATGAAATCTGGGGAAACTATCATGGCCCACGCCATGATATCCCCTCCCCCTAGCTGTCACCCCCCTCTTTGCCGCCCCCGACTGTACACACGGCGGAATGCTTAAGAGATCATGGGTTAAGAAACCCATAGTCTCAGAACTTGGATAAAAACCCAACACGTCTATTCAAATGTTAGGGTTCACATTGGAACTTTAAGAATAATCGAGACCCTGGCCGAAAACTCAAATTTTCTTAAGCATCGCCTAAGGTGTAGAGGGGCAGGCCCGGCTCGACCCCCGGAGGGCGCGCGAGCACGCGAGGCCTGCAGGGGGCCCCGAGCGCGGAGCGGGCGGCAGGCGTGCCCCGGCCCCTGCGCCGGGGAGCCGCGGGGGCACGCCCTGACTCCGGATCCGCCCCACTTTGGGGAACTTCGTAAGTGGGGCTTGGAATCTCCGCCTCACGTTTCGAGCCCCGCTGATGCCACTTTCCGCCCCACTTTTCTGTGGCTGCTTCCGCCCCACTTCTGTGGATCTTCGCCCCATTTTTATGTTGGGTGCAGAAATTTCCGCCCTACTTGCTCGGCTCCTTCTGAGATCGGCGGCCCGCTTACTTAGTGGATAGCCCACTTCTAAGTGGTTAGCCGCCAGCTTAGTTGACTTAGCTAAGTAGGATCTATCTACTTAGCTAAGTTTGTTAGTATGGACTTAGCCTAAGTTGGCTAAGTAGGATAGCCTAAGTGGGCTAAGTAGGTTAGCGCCCCGCCAGGGAGGGGCTAGGCCTGGAGTTAGAAGCCCACCCTCAGAGTTCATTCACCCCCTGGCCAGAAATGATTCACCCCCTGGGAGTCCCCCCGATCGCAGGCCGCCGATCTCTGGAAACCCTTGGAGCCAAGAAAAGGAGGGGGAGGCGCAGGAGCACAGAGGAGGAGGGTGAGCGAGAGGGGCAGGGAGGAGGAGGAAGGACGAGGAGGAAAGAGGAGGATGTGAGAGGAGGAGGAGGAGGAGGAGAAGTGGGGAGGTGGAGGGCCCAGAAGTGGCAGGCGGCAACGGCCGAGAGGCCTCCAAGAGTACAAGCAGGGTCAGGCGGCTACGGCCGTGAGGCCTCCAGGAATAAAGAGCACGCGCAGGCGGCGACGGCCGAAAGGCCTTCACGAATAGGAGCCCCCGTTGGGTTTTCATTTTTTCAGCGTGCGCGTCTACCGTCCGTGCCTCAACCTCGCAGGAACGATAACCTGCGTGACGGAGCCTACTGGTGCAACCCCAGCAACACAAGGCTCGATGAGGCATTCGGTAGCGAAAAGACGAGGTGCCTCCTGACTTCTGCACTGAACACAATGGCCTTTTGTGAGCAACACTTCCCAAGGCGAGATGCACGAGACTAGGGTTCCGTCAACCTTCGAGTGAAACCACAGGCGGCCAAAAGAAACGTGGCCGTCGTTGTCTGCTGTGTAGCACACAACGTCATTCATCTGAATCACACGGCCATGCACGTAGGCAGCACGCCCTGAAACTATAACGGCCCCTGGCCGAACGTGCATGGCAGAACAGATGGCCTTCAGCATTGTCTTGCTTGCAGGCCTTGGCTCGAGAATGTCTATACCCTCGAGCTCGTACCTGAGTTCGAACAGGTGCTGGCACGTGATCTCTTCGATCAAGCTGCGCTCGAACGCAGCGGTGTTCTGACGTTCGTTCGCGAACCTCTTGGCCGTTCTATGCTTACGTTCCATAAGGAACGTCGAAAGCAAAAGTCCGTGCCGATGCAACTGCGATGGCAGGTGCATGTTAAAATGACTCTTGGGCCTCCAGAGCGTTGTGCCCCAGTAAGCCTTCTGAGCCGTGTAGTGGACAACGATTGCATTCATCAGCTGCACAGGCGTAACGACACCTGCATTGACAATCGAAAGAAGACCGAGCACGTCACACGCCTTCACCATGCTATTCACTGCGCCTTGGAGCCTCGGTGCTTTCTTCAGCACCACGTCAAGCATGCACTTCCTGATTACTGGCGCAGCGGAGATGCACTCGCTGGCGCAGCCAGACGCTTCATGTGAAGGGACCTTCTTACAGAGCCCCTTCCCACTCGCATAGCCTCCTGGCCACTCCCAGAGCTTGAGATATTCATGTAGCGCAGCCCCCCCCCCCCCCCCCCCCCTTCCCCCCCCCCCCCCCCCCCGAGGTTCTCTGCAGCCAGCGCGTCCAGCACAGCATCCACCTCGATAACGAAGACACCGCCAACGAGGTAGTTGTGCATCCAGTCGTATGCCCAGACGTCCGCGACTTGGATCGCGAGGTCCTCGTCCTGTAACAAGGACTCGGGGTTGTACTTGTAGCCCAGCAGTGTCTCGAGCTCCTTGCGAGCAGTCGAGCCCCGAGTCGACTCCACCTGCGCTAGTCTGTCTTGGACGTTTCGGACGCTGGCGTTCGCGTGCAGCTTGAACTTGGAGACATCCAGTTCAGTGCTCGGGACCGAGTAGCCAGTCGTGTCACCAAGAGCCAGTTTGCATTTGAACGATACCACATTCTGGCAGAGGGCGCAGAGTTTGATCCCCCCTGCGCCCATGACCTCCATGCTGAACTTAAACGCTCTCTCGTCCTGACTGATGACGGCCAGTGAGCCCCGCAAAATGCGGGGCATCGCCTCTCCAAAGATGTTGAGCTCGACCCCCGTGCGAAGGTCGGGCTGGAGAGGCGCCCCGAAGAACACCTTCAGCACGATGCGGAAGAGCTGTGACATGCCGTCCTTGAGCCGCAGAACCAGGTCCGACCTGCACACGCATACCGTCATCCACGCCTGCTCATTGGACAAGGTAGGAAACTGGAAGTCCAAAATGGACCAGTAGATGGCCTCCAGCTTTCGGCCGTTCACCTCCTTGAGCGGATTGCCAGGAGTGATCTCGTCGCTGTACGCTGCTATCTTGATCGTGTTCTGCGTTCTGTCTAGAACTCGGGTGAGCAGCCTGCGAAATGGCTCGCTCCTCTTGCAAGCCGCCTCGAGGAAGCCGATCGGGTGCTGGACGCAGACAGTCTCGGTGCCCTCGTCGGTCTCGACCTCGATGCGTTGGCACAGCGGTCCGAAGGTCGTCTCTTGGTAGGCCTCCTTCTGACGACTCCTCTGCCGAGTCCTCGAGCTGAAGGCCGCTGGCAGATCCTCTTCGGACAACTGCTTTAGGAGGCCTTGGAGGGCAGCATGGCTGAGGTGGTGGTCCCGACCAAGATCAAGCAGGCGAGCTCGCTTGCGCTCGCTCATTTGCGAAACCAATCGGTTCGAGCCAAAACGGCTATGCACACACACACACACACACACACACACACACACACGCGGAGGGGGAGTTCGGGAGGGGGGTCTGCGATGTTGGCGGGTTGTCTTAGGGGTTATGTGTGCCGTTTCTTAGTTGTTGGTTTTGGTTTGGAATGTTGTTGTTTTTTTGTGCTGGCTTTTTTTTTTTCGGGGGGGGGGGGGGGGGGGCGGGGCAAGGGCTTGGAGTTCGGCGATTGAACACGGTTGGTATACAGTGTCTGTAATCCTTGTCGCCACGGCGTCATTCGCTCCGATATCCTCCCAGCGGTCAGAACAATACAAGTTACGTGGTTGCTTATCTTCCTTCTGGCCTCCTCCTCCTCATCCTCCTCCCGCTTCTCCTCCTCCTCATCATCATCCTCATCCTCATTATCATCCTCATCCTCTCCTCCTCATCCTTCTTCTCCTCCTCATCTTGATCCTCATCCTCATCCTCATCCTCATCCTCATCCTCATCTTCCCTTGTCGGTGATGACGGTGGTGGCGATGCTTACGTGCTGACGATGCTTCCCACCGCTCGCTTTCTCTGAGAGCTCTGCGCTTACCGCTCAGAGTCCCTGCGTATCTAGCAGGCAAAAGGAAAGAGTACAAGGCCTGCTGACGTCTGTCTGTACCCACGGCTCCAACTACCAGCTCTAACACCAAACCCTCAAGGTGCCGTGACTCGGAGCTGATCCGACGAAGCGAAGGGACCACGACAGAACTAAACTGCAAACGTGAGGATGCCTACTTCTTCCCGTGCTTCTGGCGCACCAGCTTGGCTTTGTGGCACGCCTCCTTGGCGATCGCCCTGGCGTCGAGGTCGTTCAGCCCAGCTGCCTTGGCTCGCCTCTTTGCCGCATCGTACGCGCGGCTAGTGAAGGCGTTCTCGCTGCGGGTCTTGGCGTCGGCTGGCTTCAGCCACTCCGAGTAGTCGATCGCGTGGCCGCTGGGCGGAGCGGGCAGGGCGGCACTGGGCTTGGCCTTGGCTTTGGCTGTGCCCTTAGCCTTACCCTTGCCCTTGGCCTTGCCCTTGGCCTTGCCCTTGGCCTTGCCCTTGGCCTTGGCCTTGGCCGACCCTGCAGCGCCCACCATGCGCCGCTCGTACTCCTCGACCGCATCACTGCCAGCAGTGCCGAGGACGCTTGCGCCCACCTCTGGACTCGACGCTGGCGTCGGGCTCGAAGCAGGCGTTGCCAACGAGAGCGGAAGAGGAGAATCGGTAGGCTCCGATTCGCCGCCAACACCAGCTGGGACGATCGCCGTGTTGTCGACGCGCGCCTGCTGCTGAGCCTGCTGCATGGGCCTCGTGAAAGTGACGTTGCAGCCACCACCGATGCCTGCTGCGGCGCCGCCAAGGTCCCCCAGGTTAAGCGCCCCTGGGGCGCCCATGTTGCCGCACGCCTGGGCCGCGAGCATCATGAGCAGCTGGGGCGGGTCATGCTGCGGGCGCACTGGCACGGCAAGGGTCGATGAGCCGCGCGCGGTCGGGTAGGGGCTCGGCGCGGTTGCCGAGCTTGCAGCGCCTCCAGCGAACTGCATCTGAGACCCTGAATCTCGACCTCCAAGTGCTCGAGCTCAGCAAGAGGCGCAACGGGGCGCCCATCTGTGTAAGCGTGGTCGAACACAGCAGGCGGGAGCAGGCGTGGCTCCTCTGGGTATACCTCGACATGGGCAAAGGGCCAGGGCTTGACGGAGTCGAGCTGCTTGATCTTCGCTTGTAGGTCCAGGGCCATGTTCCGCTTGACAGCCGCTGACGGAGGCGATAGCTTGAAGGGCTGGTGGCAGCAAATGACGATCGCGGCGCCCCTGACGAGCAGCTTCTCGGAGGCGGTTGTGATCCCCAGCTTGTGCATCCTGTTGGCTACCAGCTGGGTCTTCATGACCTCGGAGTGGTCTGCGCCGGTGATTCCCTGCCAGTCGTCGGCAGAGAAGAACTTTTGGAGGTTGCTGCACTTCTGCTGAGCTCTGCCAGCGCGCGGGCTACCCGACTCGGCAGCGGCCCTTGAGTTCAACGCCGTGGCCATGGAAATCTTCTGGTGGTCCGTCCAGGGCCCGTTCGAGATCTCATGCGCGACGGCCGTGGCGACGGCGAGGTCGATTCCAGGGGCGACCGAGAAAGTCGCGTTCAGGGCGTTGACCTGGGCCTGCAAGAGGATGTTACGATCGAGGCCTGCGTGGGCCTGTGCGCTCACAAAGGCGAGGCGCTCACGCAGCATCGAGATCAAGCGCTGAGAATGGAAAGTTGAGTCCGACATGCTGAGCGAACTAACTTTTACCAGAATGCGAAGGCAGAAGAGAAAGCCGAGCTGCTTGAACCCAAATGGCTATGGAGACGGAGGAGGATGGAGGTGGCAGGAGGTAGTGGAGATGGCTTTCGTACCCAGACGAATGTGGGTTCCGTCGTTGTCGAGGCTGGCTCTCCTTATGCGTCCTCATCCGTGTCCTCGTGATCCTCCTCTCTGTCTCATTGCTGCACGTTGTGAAACAGAATGGAGTGCCTCGACTTCCCCCCTTCAGAAGGAGGAGGAGCAGCAGCAGCAGGAGAAGGAGAAGGAGGAGGAGGAGGAGGAGGAGGAGGAGGGGGAGGGGAGGGGCTGAGGAGGAGGGGGAGCGGGAGTGACATCTGGAGGAGGGGGAGGAGGAGCACTCCTGCCCCCCTCCTCCTCCTCCCCCTCCCCCTCCTCCTCCTCCTCCTCCTCCTGATCCTCATCCTACGCACTCCAACCCCCCGCGCTAGGCCCTCGGACCCCTGCTGCAGATGTATCCCGATTGAGTCCCGCGTGGCGAAGAGGGCTGCCTGAGAGAGCCTCGGAGAGCGCGGGGGAGGGGCAGAACCGCTAAATCGCAACGGCGGTCTCGCCTGGGCCAGCCACGGCGCCCGAGGCCGGACTCATCCTGGGCAATTCGACTTTCCGTGGCGAACTTCCCCTGAGCAGTCCGATCCATCTGGGCCAATTTGGCTGGGGGAGTTGGGCCAATTGCTGGGGGGCAGTTGGGCTGCCAAACCTGTGACTGTTGAACGTCGGGGGCAATTTGTTTTTGACAGATGTGGCCAACCCCACCCAGCCGAGTTGGACCCAAACGATCGAACTCCCCAGGAGAAGTTCGCTCAAAACAGTCGAACTTCTCCTGGGCAGTTCGCCCCAAACACAAGGACGCGCGCTCCGCGCCTCTCGAGGCCGCCAGAAGCTACAATTTGATTCAGAATCATCGTTATGTCAGCTCGTGTATCGTTCAACCTCTTGGTGATGGTGATGATGACTGCGATGCCACGGTGACAGTTTTTACTGTGCAAAGAGCGGCGCGCTGCCACTGGCTGAGTACATTGATCTTTGCTATCATGACTAATGCTAGAGTTGTGCGACTGCTGTCGCCTAAGGAGACGGTCTGAAACAACACGGCCAGCACACATCTGGTTTTTCAGATGTGGCAACAGCGTGGCTGTAGCATGCCCACATCAAATACATGCCACGCTCGGGAAACAGACGGAATGCAACAAAAAGCTGGGCCCGTGGAGCCATGCTCACACATCGGGCTCCGAGTGATGCTGCTCTCTGAAGGGAGCTAGCACCCTGGCCATGCCCACGGCCCTGTCCTGCAAGTTTGGGCCGCTCTCTACAGCCATCGACTTCGTGCGCCAGGTTCTCTTCACGCTGTCGAAGTAGCGCGTCTTCACCGCGCTCTTGTTTCGGACCCATTCCACATGCTCGATGTCGATGACGGGGTCAGGCTGGACCTCGCCGACCGCGTCGGGCTCTTCCTGCAGGAGCTGCAATGCTTCCGTGGCGAACTCGATCGCCAACTTCGCGCGCTTGATCGCAGACGTGGCGACCCAGACCGTTTGCTCGGAGCCCAGCACCGTGACCGTGACTTGGGTGGCGCTAGGAATGCTATCGACCGCCTCTTTACGGGGCTTCTTGCAGACTGGCTCCCCCTCAGTGTCGTCCACCATCGGGCCTTTCTGCTGCTCGGAACGTGCAGCCTCCGCAATGAGCATGTCGACCTTGGCATTACGCTCTTGGGTCAGGAAATTCAGCATGTCGAACTTATCGGATACCAGCTTGCAGAATCGGCTGTCCTGCTTGTCCGTCAGGACGTACTGGCGGCCTTCGATCTCAAGGACCTCAGCGAACCATCCCGCTCCTGCATTGCACCGTTCCACACTGGGGCTGATGCACGCGAAGCCAGTCTTGATGAAGACGGGCATCTCCGAAATTATCGCAGGATGTACAGGGCAGAGCGAGCTACAACATGATTGAGCCAAAACGGCTATACACGCACACGCACACACACGGAGAGGGGGGATTTCTCGGGGTGGGAAGTGATGGTTGCGATGCTCTCATAGGGTTGGGGGACTTCGTCTTTATTTTTTGAACACCTGGATTTGGGAAATGCGATCTCCGTGCTGATCTCTGGGATCCTAGTGAATGCTCTGGGGCCCTAGCGAGTATATGCACACACACACACGCACACATTGAGAGGGATTCGGGGGTCTTGTGATTCAACTGCTGATTGATGTCTTCGGGTGGAGGGCTCTGAGGTCTTGTCGTTTCTTGGGGGGGGGGGGGGCGGTTCGCTCTTCAGGAATTATGAATATTTTTTCTGCCAGCTTTCTTTATATGAGTGGGGGACGGGTGCTCTGTATGACGTTTTAGTTGCGGGTATTTTTGCGGTGGTCATCTTCGCCACGACTGGATTCGCATCGGGGCCACTTCAGCTTCCATGCGATCTCAGAAATCAATTTCGGAATATCCTTCGGGACGTGCTGCAATATAATGTTGTTGCTGTTTGGTTTCTACTTTGACGGGCCTGGACAACTGTCGGGCATCACGTCAGTACACCATGCGTTGTGACTGATTGGGTCCCCACAGAGAGCCTCGCACAATGTTTTCTCAAGGGGTTTGTCGTCGGCCACGCTGGACTCGGTTCGAAAGCTCGCCGAAACTCCACCAAGACGGAGGTGAGGCTACAACAAGCTCGCCTCTGCTTCTCCGAGCTTGCGCAAAAAAGATGTCCATGCTCGCATGGCGCGCTCTCTGCAGCTTCCTCCCTCGTCGTCGCCGTCGTCATCTTCCTCCTCCTTCTCCTCCCTCTCCTCCGCCTCCTCCTCATCCGTCTCCTCTTCCTTCCAACCCTCGTGATCTCTGCGTGGAGAGCGCTTCATCTACGTGCGCCCCGCATGCTCGAGCAAAGAAAGCTGAAAAACACAACTAAGCATTGGCCTTGGCTTTCGGGGTCGCTGCCAGGGGCGCAACTGCGAGCAAGTCCCCACACTTCACAGCCTTAGAGTTTGTCATTGCTGGGACCTCAAGCGTGGAATCAACAACGTCACCACCTGTCTTTACAGACGTGACCACTTTGACGAGCGCATGGGCCATGTTGGGAGCGACATCGTTTGCAGCTGACGGCACGCACCAATATGGAACCACGAATTGGTTGGCCTTGGGCTGCTGCTCCTGGGTCAAATCACATCGAGGCAAGATGGGAACCTTGATATCCTTCACGGCTGGTGTCGGAACCACGACGGCCCCATTAGGGACCCTGTTGCTTGCGCTGATAACTGTACCGAAAGGGATAAGAACAAGCTTGCCTTTGGGATACTGTTGGTTGCTCTCGACCTGGCGGTTCTTTTTCTCACCCGCGATGATCGCGACGTCGACGTTCGGCAAGCGCGACGTGAAGGCACTCACGAGCGCGATCCGAACCTGGCTCCGGAGGCGCGTGCGAGGGAGTCAGAAAACACGGGCTCCGCTCTGTGATACCGACCAACAACACATAGATTGCACCCAACACGATTAGTACGAAAACACACCGACAAGTTTTGACCGCAGTCTACATCCTCATCCTCCTCATCCTCTTCCTCCTCTTCCTCCCTCCTCGTTCTCCTCTTCCTCCTCTCCCTCCTCTTCCTCATCTTCCTCCTCGGCCTCCTCTGTCTCATTGTCGTCGGAATCCCTGTATTGTGTCTCATTATCGTCATCGCCGCCATCCTTTTCTCATCATTTCACCTCGCGTCCTCAAACTTCTTCCTCCTCCTATGTCTCATCCTTATCCCGTTGCTCTCCCGCTGGCAGCTGGGAGCCTGTGATTTCAGCGTTTCGAGCGCGCAGTCCTTGTGCAGGGCGGGGTTCGCGAGGCTCTCGATGGGGACCCGAATGAAGCTCTCCACGGTCACAACCTGGAAAGAATAGGGAGTCTAGAGAACGACAAACGACGATTGTTTACCCCCCATCCCAACGAATCAGGAGGGGGAGGCTTGAGGGTTGGATGGGAAGGAGGGGGCGGAATAAGAGAGTCCTCCTCCTCCTCCTCCTCCTCCTCCTCCTTCCTCCTCCCTCCTCCTCCTCCCCCTCCTCCTCCTCGCCCTCCTCCTCCCCCTCCTCCTCCCCCTCCTCCTCCTCCTCCTCCTCCTCGTCCTCCTCCTCCTCCCTCCTTCGCCTCCCTACAAGCTGGCCTGGTACTCGTCGGCCAGCACGTTGCTATCGATGACGAGGTGGTGCTGGTCGTCGTCATCGTCGACCTTGCGCTTCTTGCCCTTCACCTTGGGAGCAAGCTGCTGCAGGGTCACCTCACCGCCCTCGATGCCGAAGATGGCGCACTTGAAGCTCTCGTCAGAGACCTTGCGCACGACGTCGCCGATCTTGAAGCCAAGATCGCGTAGCGCGGGGTCGGCGAGGATCATGCCGTCGGACGCCGCGTTGAACTGTACCAGACCGCGCGAACCCGCGGAGGAGGCAGTCCCACTGCTGACCTCCAGCGTCTCCGTCTTCTTCCAGGGCCCCTCGGACGTGGCCCCAGGGCAGAGAGCTTCGACCTCCTCCAGGAATTTGTTTTTGATCTCCCCGAGGTTGTGGTACTTCTTGTTGTTGCGCGACTGCTTGTTGTGAAACAGAAGGACGCACCTCACCTGCATGTGGCCCAACACCTTCGCCTTTGCCGAAGGAGTCACGCTCGCCAAGTTGGCGAGGAAGCTTTTTGCTGCAGCCGTCATCGCCAAGAAAGCACTGATGTCCGACTTCTTGGAACCTTTGATGGTAGCCATGTCCGCGTTGCAGAGCAACTTCGCGACGCCGTCGCGGCAATGCGAATCGGGAGCGCACAAGCACGCTTTGATGCAGGAGGTCATGTACTCGGGGCCTCGCATGAAGTTGAGCTTCGCGAGCATGGCGAAGGTGCTGCCGTGGACGTCCCTCCTGCAATCGCCCACTGTCTGGGCGAACGCGTGGAGCTCATGCAGAAGGCAGCCGTCTTCACCGCCCGAATACGCCGAGACAAAGAGGCCCATGTCCCCCACTTGACCGCGGAGGTGCGGTCGAGTCTTCTCGATCTGGCGCTCGATGATCGGCCACCTGATCTCACCGAACGTCTTGAGGTGTTGCGTGGCGCACCTGTGGATCTGCAGGAGAGTCTGCATCTTGCTTTGTTGCCGATTTGCGCCGTGGTTGGCGTTGTCGGCTTCCTGCAGGAACGACGCCAGCTCTGGAATTGCAGCGTCCACCTCGTGGCGAATCACTGTCCACGGCATCCCTTGAACGAGAGGCTGCTCGTAGGAAGAGCAGATCGACATCACCTTGTCGCGAGCGATGTAGCCACGGTCGTCCAAGATCTCTGGCATGGTGCCCCTCGCTGACAACGCCACGCACCTCGCGCCCGCAACGGTGTGAGAGCACGTCACAGAGAGGTACTTCAAGTCCGAGGCCTCGAACGCTGGCAGATACCCAGAACTCGAGGAAGTAAGCGCCTGGTTGAAGGCCCACTGGGACTCCCGAGCCTTGCCCGACGGTGCCATCTCAAAGCAGATCGCCCCAGCGCACTTGTCGTACCTGAAGACGCCCTGCAAGATCACCTGCAGCAAGTCGTGCACGTCTGTGACCTACAGGCCCACGCCGAACCTGTTCTGCACATGCGTGCCCATATGGCGGATGTTGATCCACACCTTCTCCGTCGCCAGTTTTCTCCCGACCAGCAGCTTGATGATGCTTTCGGCGGCCACCATGATCTGCTTTGTGCCGTCGTCATCGCCCGAGGCCTCGTGCTGGGCGATCACCTCCATGATCACGGGCTTCACCTCGTCGATGGCGGCCTCGATGGCCGAGCCCATCGCCATGGCCTCGACGGCCTTGGCAACAAAGTGTGCGCTTGCAGCGCAAAGCCACAAAGTTTGAGCCAAAATGGTTATGCCCTTCTCCTCCTCCTCCTCCTCCTTCCTCTCATTGCCCCAAGACGTCCAAGTTTACTCCAGGACGGCCCAAGACGCACCCCTGAGGCCCCAAGAGTGCTCATGACCCAAGAACATCACATATCCCCCCAGGAGGGATGCGAAGGGGGGAGGGAGAGGATGGTAAGAGGGAAAATGGTGTTGATGATGCTGAGTTTGGTTTTCAAGGATGGCCGAGCTAGCCTACTGGGAACGGCGAGAGTGGATAACATCCCCCCCCCGTAACCTACTTAGCACCCCCTTCCAACCTACTTAGCTAACCCAGCTAACCTACATAGCGTAAGTCCCCTAAGTGGTTAGCCAACTTAGGGCTAACCTACTTGTTAAGCCCAGGGGCCGAGTAGCCCCACTTACGATCCCCTCGAACTGGTTAGGTTTGGGTACCAAGTAGATAGGAGGACACGGCCACATCTAAGTGGCTTGCATCTGACCTATACACGACATACTATCTACAAAGAAGCCCCCCAACCACTTACGATCCACCCCGCCGTTCTCAGTTACAGGTGGATTTCCGACGCAATTGTAAGCTGGAAAAAAAACCAAAGTAGGGCGGATCTGGAGTCAGGGGGGGGGTATCGGGCGAGGAGGGGCGGGCGCCTCCCGGGGCCACCGCTGCGCCGCCGCGCGGACCACTCGTGTCGGGCGCAAGGGGGGGGGATAGCAAAGGGGGGGGGGGTGAGAATCAGCTCGAGTGGCTGAGTTTCCCGGCGCCTCCCGGCGCCGGAGGCAGCCCATGCATCGAGGCATGGGCCCCATCGGTGAGGCCGAAGCCAGCTGCACGCAGCAAGTTTCGTACCCCCCCCCTTGCCCAGTCCCCCCTTTTTTCGTCCGGCCCGGACCACGGGGAGATGCAGCAGGGCTGGGTCGGGCACGTCCTCCTACAAGGGTACCTTGCATGGAAAATCAGACGTGCGCAAAACAACACATATACATCTAATGTCATCGAAAATCGCCCCCTGGCTATTTTTTTTGGCTACTTTTGAATATTCCCCCTGTAGAGGGACAGGCCCGACTCAACGGTAGGGGCCCGACCACAAGAAACCCTCCGCAGGAAACCCAACCCTGAGTCCCCAGGGCGCCTCTTGATCTTTGGTGTGGGAGCGTCGCGCTTGCCAGCGCAAAATGGCCGAAACCCAGGAAACCCATGGGACGCACAGAGACATACTAATACTATATGTCCTCCTGGGAGGCGCGCGTCCGACCCGAACAGATGGTATACCCATCTTGTAGTAGATCCTTTCCCGAGCGGTGCAGCCAGAAAACGCCGGCCACGACGCATATACTAGAAGATTCCTCGGTGCGCGCGTTGCCCCTGGGGGGGGGGGGGGGGGGGCGACGCACATATATATATATATATATATATATATTATATATATATATATATATATAGATACGTATGTTGGGGGCGACGCCGAACCCAGGGCACCCTGGAGGCGAGCAGGGTGCTTCTTGGCACGGGCCCCCACTGCAGGGGAAGCGCGAGGACACGGGGCACGCGCGAGAGCGCGGCGCACGAGCGGCCGACGGCAGACGACGGACCAGGACCCCCGACGCCATGAGCTTCGCACGACGTCGACCCCCCCGAGGTCTCGACCCGCTCCCCGGGAGCGGTCCTCCCTCCCGAGGAGCGGGGGAAGCCCGGCGTGCGGGCCCCCAAGAGAGGCCGAGCATGGCGAAAAAAGCCTCCCGTCGTGAGTGCTTCGCCACCGCTCCGAGGGGGGCCCGTCGGGGAGGTCGGACGCCCGCGGCCAGGCACGCCTCCACGGGCGGCACGCCTGGCCCCCCGCGCAGAGGGCCCCGAGGGGGGGGGCCGCCTCGGCGCCCCTCCCCCGGCGGGGACCCCACCGACGGGCACCTTCGGGCCCGCGCGGCCCGGCGAACCTGGCCCGCCCCCGGGGCGGGCAGCGCTGGAGCCTGTCTTGCTTTGGGCTCTGGCGAGTTTGCCGGCGTGGACGGGGGGGGGGCTGGACCTGAAAGCAGGCCGCACACGACTGGACGTGCGGAAATCACGCGAGTCGAAAGGCACTTGCACGCTCGTATTCGTTTGAAGAGGGGCAGGGGGGGGGGGGGGGGGGGCGAACGCCATGCAAGTAAACTTGCCCGAATCTAGAGAAAAACAGACTCCTGCGGCGATGGCCCTGCTGAAGTGGCAGCTCCCAGCCGGTTTCCACAAGTGCCCGTCAGTCCCCGACCTCCTCGCGCTGTGACAAAAATCACGACGGGAGGTTGTTCGATGTTTTCGGCCTCGGGGGGCCCTTCCTGGGACCTCGAGACCTTACAAAAACGACTCAGGATGAAAAAACAATCCCCAGGAAGGGGTCCAGACCCCTAGGGGGTCGACGCTGCGAAAAATCACGACGTCGGGGGTCTCTGATGCGCACCCCATTTCGGCGACTCCGGAGGGTGTGGTGATCAACTGGCACCCTGGGGGGGCACCTAGGGGGGGCGGGCGGGGACCTCGATAAAGCAACGTTCTCCGCCGCGCCCCGAGGAGGCCCGACGAGGTCGGCGTCGTGCCTCCGCAAATCACGCCCCAGCGTAACTATGCCCTTTGCAGTCGCTGACCCCTGCGGTACCGCCGATGCTTCTCCTCCTCCTCCTCCTCCTCCTCCTCCTCCTCCTCCTCCTCCTCCTCCTCCTCCTCCTCCTCCTCCTAGCATGGGGGAAGCGGGTCCTGAGGGAAACGGGTCCTGGACCCTGGAACCTTCCCCCAAGACCACTTGCTCACCCTGCGTCATTGCTGACAGCCCCGGAGTCCGCGAAGGCCCCCGAAAGCCAGAAACGGCAGAGAACCTCGGGACCCGCCTCCCTCAGGACCCGCTTCCCCCACTCGGGGGCGGCCAGGAGGGGGGCGCCCAAGAGGGGGGGCCGCAAACCAGCGGCACGTGCGCGGCCCAGGCGGGGGGGGGGGCCGGGGGACGTCAGGACATGAGCCGAGGCGCCGTGAGATCGGAGGAACTATCGTGGCCCGCGCCATGATATCCCCCCCTCCTAGTCATCACCCCCCTGTTGGCCGCCCCCGACCCGCGGCTTGGTGGTCCCCAAACGTGGTGGTGAGAACACCCGGTGGTGAGTTGTGGGCGATTCGGGTATTGGCTTTCGAGCGCCGGCTGGCCCGGGAAACGCAGAACTTCGTGGCGACCGCGTGTCCCCAAACCCGGCGGTGACCCAGAATTCATGTTTTGGGGGAATCGGGGTCACCACAGGGTGTCTCACCACCTGGTTTGGAGACCACCACGCGGCGACGACCGCCTGCTGCCCGCGGGCGCCCGGGCCGCACGCCCTGCCGACCGCTGGGCCGCCCCGCACCGCACCCCGCGCCGCGCGCCCCGCGCCCCGCGCGGGCCCTCGTCGCGCCGCCTCCTCGCGCCCCCTTCGCGCCCCCTCGCCGCCCCGGCGAAGGGCGGCCGTCGTCGGCGGCTCGCGCAGAAGGGGGTCTCCTCCTCCTCCTCCTCCTCCTCCTCCTCCTCCTCCTCCTCCTCCTCCCTCCTCCTCCTCCTCCTCCTCCCTCCTCATCTCCCTCCTCCTCCTCCTCCTCCTCCTCCTCCTCCTCCTCATCCTCCTCCTCCTCCTCCTCCTCCTCTCCTCCTCCCCTCCTCTCCTCCTCCTCCTCCTCCTCCTCCCTCCTCCTCCCTCCTCCTCCTCCTCCTCCTCCTCCTCCTCCTCTCCTCCTCCTCCTCCTCCTCCTCCTCTCCTCCTCCTTCCTCCTCCTCCTCCTCCTCCTCCTCCTCGAGGGGGAGAAGGAAGGGGAGGGCTTCTTCGAAGGAGGCTGCCTCTTGACGTCTACAGAGGGAGGCTTCTTAGAGGGAGGCTTCTTAGAAGGAGGGGGAGGGGGGGGGGGCTTCTGAGAAGGAGGCTGCCTCTTGGAGGGCGCGGGCCTCGACGTCTCCAGACCAGGCCCGCGCCTCCTCGGAAGCAAGGGTGCTTCTGAGGAGGCTTCCCCGCTCCCCCCTACCCCCCCTTCTGCGCGTGGCCGACGTCCGGTCCGTGCCGCGGCGTGGGGAGCGCGACGATCTCGGCGCCCCCGAGGGCGGCCAACCGGGGCAGCTGACCGCGAAGGGTCTTCGGTAATGCTGCGCGCCATCCCCCCCCCCAAAGCTCTCGGCTGGCAACACAGCCCGCGCTCTCCCTACGAATCCTATTCACCTCAAGTCGGGCGTGTCCCCCTACAGGAGGATTTTGGACGAAAAACTAAGAACAATCAAAAAAAACTAAAAATAATCAGAAATTCTGAAAAATCGTTCCCATTGCATTTTTTGATTATTTTTAGAGGGACACGCCCGACTCAATATCGACCGCGTCAAACGACGACCTACCAGACCACCCCAACCTAACCCGAAGACCCAGGTTTCGGGTCAGTGGGTGGCTACGGGTTCCACATACGTGTTTTTTGTCGATGTTCCCCGACACGCCCCCCCCACTGGAAGTCGAGGTTAAATTTGGGCATTCGGGTTGGGCTTGGGTGGCTTGATGGGTGGTGATCAAATTGAGCCTCAAACATGTCGGACATGCCCCTTCGAGGTCGGCGCGCCCTTCAGTGCCTGTACGACGCCCCTCCAATGTCGGGGCCAGGGCAAAGGCGGTCTGACCGGGAGCAAGTCGAAGTTCGATGATGACCGACATTGGAGGGGTGGCGCATGCAAGTACCTCGCACTCATCGCTACTCAGGCAAGTATCTTCCCATACACAGTTCAGCTACGTAAGCGATGTTTGATGATAATTTTGACGAGGGATGTAGGAATCCTTAGGAATCCTAAGGGAACCCGAAGAATCCTTAGGGATCCCTGTGAATCCTTAGGAATCCTACGGATCCATAGGAATCTTTTTCCTAGGACCCGTAGAAAACTCTTGGAAACCCAGCAGAGGCCGCCGCGGGAGACGAATCAATTTCCCAATACTGTTTCCAGTCCCAACTTGCCAATAAGCCCGCGTCAGGGAAAAATGCTCCACTATAAGAGGGGGTTGAAGACCCATGTCGATTATCCTCACGCTTTCGCGCCGCCCCCACCCCCCCCGATGAGGGACTCGCGCCACGCTCTGAAATCGCCCACAGCGCGAAGCGCGAAAAACTTCGCACCCTCGTGGTGGCCCTAGGACCAAAGATTTGGGCGTCTGAAGCGGGGACAGCGAAGGCAAGGACGGTGCCCAACAACAATATGTCCCACACCTACAGGGACCGCCTCTGTCGGGGATACGCAAGACTCGGGTACGAGGGACTCGGGTTGGCCTGACGGGGCCATCATAAAAATGACAGGACCCAATCTGAAATTTGACGCGAGATCTCGCTGATAAAAAAACACGAAAACTGGACCGTCAAAATCCAGGACGCGCTCGTCAACCTGAGTTCAGGCTTACTCGAGTCTTACGTTTCCCCCATTCTGGGTAGGCGCTTCTCATTTCAGACGGACGACGTCCGCGGCGATGTTGACAACGAGTCCTGCTCAGAGTTGGCAAGAACTGCTGTCGGTCCTCGCCCACATCCTTTCGGCCCCAGTTTCGCTTCTCCGAAGCCTTCTTCCCCACCCTGGCCAGGCCTATACTGCGCCCAGGATGGGTCTGGCCTTAGGTCGGGCGTGTCCTCATACAGGTGGATTTTGCTCGAAAATGAAAAAAATCGAACAGATTCCAAAAATGCACAAACATACTCAAAAATCGTCCCCAGGCTACTTTTTGACTATTTCTGAGTACTCCTCACTCATGGAGAGGGACAGGCCCGACGAAAGTCTGGCCAGGATCGGTGCAGGTGTGCAGTTCATGTCCTCCAGCGGCCTTCACGTTCACGTCGACGATCATCCTGTTGAAGAGGTACACGGCCAGGGCCACCGGCCAGGACTCCACTAGCAACAGGTGCGGCAGCGCCGTCGGTAGACACCGGCACCTCGGCAGGACAGAAACCAGGTGATCCACAAGAAGCCCCATGCACCATCCCCAGGGCCTTGGAAACCAAAGCCGTCCCGTCCTCCCTGGAAGTCTGTGCAGGCCTCCAGAAGCATCCAAAGGCCCAAACTTAGCCTGGCGAAGATCCCGACCCTATGAAGCTGCGTGCAGCGCACAGCGCGCCTCTCTCTTCATCTTCTCGTCCACTACGCGCCGCGGGGCAGTGCGGATAGGGGCCTGCGGAGCAAGCGCGCAGAAGCGCGTTGAATCCCCTGCGGGCACGATCCGCGTGAGGAGTGTACTGCAACTGTGAAGGGAGGCGCACGCGAACACGCCCACTGAGGACGTAGGTGGAGCTACCCGTGGGGCACGATACGAGGGAGCGGTGCGCCAATGCGGGCGGCGGGACGCCATGCGAACTTGCCCACTGGGGTCGCAAGCAGGCCTCCCTGCGGGCGATCCATGTGAGGGGTGTGCCACAAGTGGGCAGATGGGGGCCTTGCCAACTGGGGCCGTAGGTGGAGCTCCCTGCGGGGCGCGAGCCGTGCGAGAGGTGTACCGACATGGAGGAGGGCCGCATGCGCGCGCGGCCACTGGGGCCGTGGAAGGAGCTCACGGTGGGGCACGAAACGTGTGAGCGGGGTGGGCGGAGAGGCGGCACGAGGTCGCACCCAATGCAGCCGCAAGTGGAGCCCTCTGAAGGGCGCGAAGCGTGTGAATGGTGTGCCGAAGTGGGCAGGGGGGCGGTATGCGGTTGCACCCACAAGAGGCAGTAGGTAGAGCTCCATGTGGGGCACGAAACGTTTGCGGGGTTTTCCAAAATGTATGGTCGGCGGCATGCCCTCGCATCCACTGAGACTGGGCGGAGCCTCCCTGTTTGACATGAACTATGTGAGGGAGGTGCCGAAAAGGAGGGCGTGGAGCTCTCTTAGGGGTACGAAACGCTCCAGATGGATCTGGGCTTCGTGGGGGGCCCGCATGGGACAGCTGCCAGGTCGTCGCTGGACGAAGAATGAAGAAGATGATGTTACATCTTCGGGGCGTCTTGCCTGTCTCATCGCGTCGCCCTCCGCGCCGAATCCGCGTCGTGTGTCCACGTGACGTCGCACATCCACGCCAGATCCGCAGGGAGCCCGGCGTCGGAAGCCGAACGGCAAGCTGCCATCTACGGGGCGGACCAGGGGCCGAGGCACGCCACGCAACGGTCGGGGCGGACGAGCAGGGTTTTTTTGATTCGCGGGTCGAAGAGCGCACCTCTTCCGGTCGAAGCTAAGCGGGCCGCGCGAAGCTCGAGGCCGGGACGGACGAACAGGGGAGGGGGCAGTAAAGGGGGGCGGGGTAGCGAGTCAGCTCACGCAGCTGCGTCTTTTCGGGCGCCTCCCGGCGCCGGAGGCGCCGGTGCCTCGACGAAAGAGCCCTGCAGCGGGGCCCAAGCCAGCTGCGCGAAGCAGAACTTGTACCCCCACCTCCCCTCTCAGCCCCCACCCCTTCTCCGTCCGCCGCGAGCAGCTTGGCGGCGCACACAAGGGGGTGGCGCGAGGGGTGGGAGCGGTCTGCGAGGAAGGCGGGGGGCTTCTTTGAAGACCCCCCCTCGCGCCCCACCCCCTGCGAGCGCCGCCAAGCAGCGCGAGGAGGAGCGACGCCTCGCGTCAAGCGCGCCCGCGAGCCGCTCCATCGCCCCCCGGCGGAGGGCGGGCGGCAAGGAGGAGGAGGAGGAGGAGGAGGAGGAGGAGGAGGGAGGAGGGAGGAGGGAGGAGGGAGGAGGGAGGAGGGAGGAGGGAGGAGGGAGGAGGGGAGGGAGGAGGGAGGAGGGAGGAGGGAGGAGGGGAGGAGGAGGAGGAGGAGGAGGAGGAGGAGCAGGAGGAGGAGCGCCCCGCGGCCGGCGCGCCCGGGGAGCGCAGAGGGGGCTCGACGGCGGCGGCGGCGGCGGCGGCGAGGGCGGCGGCGAGGGCGGCGGCGACCGGGGCCACCTGGCGCTTGTCGTCGGGCACGGCGGGATCCTCGGGCGTGGCTTAATGGGGGGGTCACAAATGGGGGGGTCAGAAAAGGTCCCCTTTCGTGCCCCTTTCGGGCCCCTCCAGAGCCCCAGGGGGCTCGTTGAGGTACCGTTTGGGTACCTTTTCGGACCACGCTCGCCACCCCCCCATTTATGACCCCCCCATTACGTGGCGCCCAAGATCCCGCAGGACCCCGCTTGCCGGCGGGCGAGGGGGCGCCGCGATGAAGAGGGGGCCCTCTCGGAGGGCGGTGGGGGCTTCCGAGAAGCCCGCGCGCCTGCTGTGAAGAGACCAGCGCGCTCCCCTACTCTCGCAGAGGAACTACGCGCAAGTGGTCCGGATCTGCCGAGGGGGAACTGCGATACATTGCGTCGAGGCAGACGCTTGTTTTCTGGACCTTGTGCGGACAAGCGCTCTGCAAGTGGTGGGACGTGCCCGGTGAGAGAAGTTTTCGGCGTCTTCGTGGAAGGCGTCGACCAAAAACTCTCTGAGAAGGCCAGGGAACTCCCGAATCTCCCGAGAAGGCCCGCCCCTTCCCAGAGATCCGATGTCGTGTTTTTGTTCAATCCGGGCTCCCTGGAAGTCTCGACCCATTCCCCAGCACCGTTTTTGTTTTCTACAGATGGTAACTTACATTCGCGTGTATAAACACTCATGCACAACACGGTAGGGAACCTGGTACTTGTTCACCAAAGTATCTAAGAACCACACATCCCCCTCGTGCAAGCCCCTCATCTTAGCAATTCGGTGGGTATCCTGTGAAAAATTGGAACGATTGTCATAAACCGTATGTTGAACTCCCGTAGCATATTCGAGTCAACGAGAAAGCCTCCAAGCTCAAGTCTCGAACTGGAATGAATTTGTGGTGCAACCGTAATTGTCTCAGTATCTCGACAAAACCCAAAACCTGGACGTCCAATCCATTCCGGGCCTTTTGATTTGCAGACCCCAATCCCATCCTTTATGTCGATAAAGTCGCTTACAGCGATCGGTTCTGGCATGGGCATCAGCTTTGGAAATAACGATCTGGAGTAGATAACGCCACCATGTGTTACAAGCAACGCTGTCTTTGAATCAAGCGATGTGTATGACGTAATGTTTACTGCATAATCAAGCACGCGGTCCACCAGCCAATAGTGTGCTTCGTTTTCCTGGAAACAGATTGCCTCATACACTTCTTGATACCATTTTGGGGGGTTCGCTTGTGTCCGCAAGCTCACGAAGCTGGCTGGATTGCAACCATAAGGACTCTTACACAGACCCTGATTGAAATCGTTGCTCGAGGGCGGCGGTGACACGCGCGCGTTTGTTTATGTTCGGCGATGATGAGCGTCATGGGGGGGGGCGACCGGGGGTATGGCGTAACGCCCCCCCCGCCGTGCGGCTCCGGCACCGCAGCCGCGCCCGCGCGCGCGACGCGACGAGCGACGAGTGACCAGCGACGACGACGACGACGCGAGCAGCACGTAGGTCACGATATGCCCCACTGCGCCTGTGTGCACCACAACGCAAGCGTGCACCACAGCGCGCTTGTATACCACAGCGCCTGCGTACACCGCAACAACCGTGTGCAACGCAGCGCCTGTGTACACCACAATGCTTGCGTACACTACAGGGCCGGTGTACACGTGTACACCGCAGCTACCATGTGCAACACAACGCCTGTGTACACCACAGTGCTTGCGTGCACCGCACCGCCTGTGCACGCCACAGTGCGTGTCTACGCCACAGCACCCGCGTGCAACGCAGCGCTGGTGTACGCCAGAATGCCTGCGTGCATAGGACACATAGAAGGAGCCTGTACGTGAGGATCTGCTGCGGACAACTAGACGCCACGCCAGGAAAATGCTGATAATCGAATGCGGCGTTCTTCCCTCGTCCCTCCTCCTCCACCTCCACAAGCTCCTCTTCCTCCTCCTCCTTTTCCTCCTCCTCCTTTTCCTCCTCCTCCTCCTGTTATTCCTCCTCCTCCTCATCTTCCTCCTCTTCCTCTTCCTCCTCCTCCTCCTCCTCCTTACCCCCTGTCGTGCGGGTTGGCGCTACAGCGCACGTGCGCATCTCAGCGCGCACCGCAGAATGGTCGATTGAATCGGTCACCTTGGTTCGCGGACGGCCAATTTAATTGGAGCCTCCTGGACGCAGATGGGAGAAGTTCGGGTGACGCTGGCGGACTCGGGAGGACTCGTAGATTCCAGCGGCGCTCTGCTGTTCATAAGGATTATGTATGTTTGCTGTCTGTGGAATCCACAAGCGCTTCATTTTTCTCATAAGAATTCGTTCTGACATTCAATATGCAACAGTGGTGCTGCGTTGCACACGGTTGCTGTGGTGCACACAGGCGCCGTGGTGTACACAGGCACTGCAATACACGCAGGCATTTTGGTGTACAGTGGTGCTGTGCCGCACACGGCTGATGTGGTGCACGCAAGCGCAATGGTGTGCCCAAGAGCTGTCGTGCCCGCAGGCACGGTGGCACAAACTCACGCTGTGTTGCACGCTGGTATACACAGGCGTTGTGGTGCAAATCGCCACATACATGCTGGCACTACCCGTCCTCCGTCATTCCTGAGCATTCCCAGACACCGCCAGCTCGAAACGCGACGTCCTCGAACCCTTTTCTACCCCCCACCAGATGATTGCCGTCATCGGCCCTGAACAAAAAACAGGCTTCAGCCGCGTCTGCGCGCACGACGAGTATGAGCGACGAGCGACAAACCACGAGCGACGACGACGACGACGACGACGACGACGACGACGACAACGACGACTGCGGACCAGACTTCTATGCGGATTCCCACGCGGACACCTACGCGGATCCCAATGCGCACGGCGGCGGTGCCCGGAGCGCACTGGGGGGGGGAGCGTTACGTCATAGGGGGGGGAGCGGGGGCCATGACGCCCGTCATGCCCCAAGCAATAAAGAAGCGGGCTCCACCAGCGGCGGCGACGGAAATGACGAGGGTTTGGCGTCGCGCGGGGAGCAGGGAGAGGGGAGAAGGCGTCCTGAAGGAGGCTGCTTCTCGGAAGGCGCCAGCCCTACATCTGCAGGCAAGGCCCGCGCCTTCCAAGAAGCACGGGTGCTCCTAAGAAGCCTTCCCCCCTCCCCCTACCCCCAGACTCCCGACAGCGTGATTTGTCACAACGTCGGCTCCCAGAGGTCTGCATTCCCCTGACCAGGCCCGCATGAACCCAGCAGCGGTGTCTGCGCCACGCCCCCCTGGCTTGGCCAGGAGTCGGCGATCCTCTGACCCTGGTCAATCCAAACCCGGGTCAGTCAGGCCTTGCAGAATCCTGCAAGATCCTGCAAGATCATGCACCCAAACCTGGGTCAATGCGAAGGATCCTGCAAGATGCTGCAGGATCCTGCGCCCAGACCCGCGTCAGTGCGACCTTGGCCCTGCAGGATCCTGCAAGATCGGGCGCTGTGGCTGACCTCCGTTTGCATTGACCCCCGTCTCAAGGCTCCCAAGGAGGGCGTACACAAAACTCCCGGGCCCAGGAAGGGCCCGGCCAGGAAGCCCTGGCCATGCAGAGATCTCGCCGCCCGACACGCAAGCGGCGCGCCTGGGGCGGAAGGGAGCGGCGTAAGCACAACAAAAGGATACCGATACCGCCACTCCAAGGACCTCTGCCGAGGTGTGCTCTGAACAGCGCCAGATGCCTAAGACATCACGAAATAAGCAGGGACCGACCCCGGCCACCGAAGGTGGAACATGCGAGCGATGTTCCTGAAGCATACACCCATGTAGCTCTGATGGCCGACAAGATGCACTTGCAGTAGATTCTTCGAGCGAGAGCAGCCAGGCTTGGCCCCATGCAAAAACACACGCGGCCAGGATTGACGTCGACGCGAATCTGGGCGCGGCGACGGGGGCCTCCCAGGAGCAGCACCGGTGTCGTTTCCTCCTCTGACTAGGGCTCATCGAGCCCTGCCCGGTCCTGCGCGCCGCCGATGCCTGGCAGCCGCGGCTGGCGTCGCCACTGACCCCCGTCTCCTGGCTCCCGCCGGGGGCTCCCTGCGGGAAGCGGGCCCCGGATCCCAAGGGGCCTTCCCCCGGGACCCATGCCTCATTTTGGAGTCCCGAAACGGTGCGGTGACAGACCGTGAGGTGACCTCGAAATCTCCCAAGACCTCACCGCACGGTCCGTCACCGCACGGTCTTGGGACCCCGGAGGCCCCAATCGCCCGC